TGACAGGAGGAACAATAGAGTGCAACAACGATGAGAGTGAAAAATAATGGAGGAGCAATGTAGGCCGTAGCATGATGTGTTTGACGGTTTTTTCTTTTTTTTTTCCTCAAAAGATGTACATTGAGAATTTTTATTTCCAAAGATGTGTATAGAGAAAATTTAGTTTTAAGATTAGTTGTGTATTGATGTCTATAGTGGCCATTTTGTTTAATGATAAAATTATAATAAAATTTAATTCAATAAATATATGCACAAAAAATAAATGGTGTGTGAAAATAGAATTACTCTGAAATGACCCTTTTTTTGGCACATTGTCTCTCTCTCTCTCTCTCTCTCTCTCTCTCTCTCTCTCTCTCTCTCTCAAATGCAAAAAAGAAAAAGGGACAAAGAGAGAAAGAGTGGGCCTCCATCACATTATAGCCTAAACACCAAAATACAAAACAATGAACCAAGGGACAAAAACAAAGGCGATGCATTATTTTCTTCATGGTGTATTTCACTAACAATTAGGTCATTCTCATAGGTTATGGGCCTTGAATTCAATCTTCATTTATTGGCTGAATATGGGGTGATGTTATTTGCACCCAAATAGTAACTTAGTACGTTTAATTAAAATTTTAAAAGAGGGCTGCTATTAACACTTATCTCTTTACTTTGGACCCCCTACTCTTTTATTTTTTTTTTAATTTCAATTTTGTCCAAAAATAAATTTCAATTTCTGCCTTCATCCCTAAGCCTTTAACCCTAATTTTTCAAACCCTAACCCTAATTCCATCACATTCGACAGCCACTGTTCACCCCAACGCCTACTATCCATTACACTGGCCATCCATCTTCCCGTCACCTCGTCAGCGCGAAAGTGTTGTGGTTGGGAAGGTGACGGCAATGGCAATTTTATGATTGTGGTGGTGCAACATCGGGAGGAAATTCTCTCATTTATCTTAGCTCTCTCTCTCTCTCTCTCTCTCTCTTTCTCTAGAAGTTTCTCTCATATTCTCTTTCTCTCTCTCTCTCTCTGTGTCTCTCTCTTACACACACACACACACACACCATCTTAGAAGACCCCTCTTCTCTCAGCGATCGTCCTCTTCATCCTCCTCTTTCTTTCACTTTTATCATCTACCCCACTTTCTAAACCACACACACACACTCTCTTTCTCTCTCTCTCTCTCTCTCTCTCTCTCTCTTTCTCTCTCTCTTCTCTTTCTACGCAATCGGCACATCCCACCAGCGATCACAACATTCAATCATGGTGGTTTTCATTTGGGTCCTTCTTGGGATTTTGGCAATGAAAGGGTTTGAGTTTCTAGGGTTTGTTCGTCTTCATCATCTGGTTTATCTCAAAAGATATTCCAAATCAATCCATCTCATGATCTGGTTCAACAAAATCACAATCTGGATTCTAATTTGGTTTTCGGACATGCCATTTTGATCTCAGGTTTGATTCAACAATTTGATCAAATTTTTTTTCCTTAATTTTGTTGTTGTTCTTGTTGATTTTTTGTTCTAGATATAAAGAAGAATGGGGTAGGAGATAGGCTACCAGAGGCAACGATAGTGGTTCCGGAGGTGGTGATTGGGAGTGAGGGCTAAGGTTAAGGTTTGGGTTTGGTTCTAGATTTGGGGTTTAGGGTATAGTTGGTATTAAGATGGGGGTTCAAAGAGAAAATGGTGGGGACTCATTTTGTTAGGTGGGGGTTTAAAGAATTGTGGGGTCCAAAGTAAAGAGGTAGGTGCTAATAGTAGTCTTCTTTTAAAATTTAAGTTTCTATTTTAACATTCAAGTCTCTTCATCTTCTTCTCCAAGTTTTAATTATTTTCTCTTCATCGTATTCCTCAGTCCAAAACTCCAATCTACCCCATCAAAACTCTCCATTATCATCAACATCATTGTTTCTTATTGTGTCATTACTTGCAAATAGAAGAAAATTTGAACAATATCAAACAATGTGTGGGTGTTGAATTTTAATAATCAAAAGTGTTTTTTGAAGCAATTCATCAAAGAGGATGTAAGTATTTACATAAATATCAAAGCATAATTCTTGATTAAAGCTTGATTACTTGAAAAATATCAAGTAAAAAGAAGTTCTCCCCAGTCAAGAGGAATTTATTCAATCCTTTAATAGATTTGGGGCAACTTGCATTTGAATTTTCACATCTTGTGATCATTATTTGCCACGTTCCAGAATTGAACTCGAAGAAAACCATATTGCTAATCAAGATATAACAATTAACTTTAGGTTTATGTTCATAATAGTTAATTTTACATTTACGTTTATCTTTTTCTTTCTTTTTTTCACAAATAGATTTCCAATAGATAGTAGGAGAAAAATAAAAAACAAAACTCCTCCTACAGAGGATCCTCTTGTTAGGCCAGGGAGCCACAGATTGATGCAAACAAACACACACAAGAGAGAAACACACAGAGTTTACGTGGTTCGGCAATTGCCTATATCCACGGGCAGCAGAATTTTATATATTTGGAGAGGTTACAATTCACTCATGTTTCTTCACCACTCTTTTCTTTTTCAATTCATGTTTACATACAAAATATAATTCATTACCTATTTATTTATAGGTTTTCTTCGAGGATGAGATGCACAAGCGGTGATGCCAAAACACCACGTTACAGACACATTCGGGAAGCTTCAAGGTGTCTCCATTGTTGACCTTCAGGAGTTTCAATTCAAAATGGTTTTCTTCAGCTGCTTTTGGATCATCCTAGAGCTTCCATCTTGATCCTTCGAGCCTTCTTCAACCAATCTTCTCTTTTCTTCTTCTTTTTTGATAAAGAAGTTCAAGCCAATTTCTTCATAATTCTCCACCTTGGCAAAAGTTATCCATCCAAACTATATAGTGAGCAATCAACGTTGCCATGTACTCGAAGGTTCTTACATTTGCTCTAAATGGATTAAGTCCAAACTCTGTTTGAACTTAACTCCAATTTTGTTCTTTTTCTACTGGGAGAGATGCACTGTGCTTCTGACCCAAACCCTATCTTGGGATTCTCTATCCCAAGAGTCTTCTTTTGTGCAACCATAAAATGATTAGCCCAATCATACCACTGTCTTGGTGATTGCTTCATTTTGTAGAATGATTTCTTCTTCCAAATGAAAATTTCCTTTTCAATTACTCAAAACCTTTCAAGTTGAGATAAGAAAATTTCTTCTTTTAAATCACCTTTATTTTTGGTGAATTTCCATTTGCAGCTGATTTCCTTCTTTCTATTTGTTAGTCGTACCAAATCCAAAGTCTTGTTCTTGTGCAGATTCTGTACTTCTTATTCAGCTGTCTTTTCTTGCTCCAGGTTCTTCTTGGCTGCTTCAGTTGTTGAGATATCATTCCCAACTGCTGGAAATGCATAAGATACCATATTTACATATCTTGTCAATTTTCTAGTCTCTGTATTCAACTTCATTGTAACAATAGACTCTGATTCCTACCGTATTGCTGTGACTTGTTCTTCTTCAATTGCACCTTCTTCAATTCGTTCTTTTGAGTCTACTAGTGCATCAAACTCCACTTGCTGGGTTCCAATAGCTTTGTTATGATCACTAGAGTCTTTAAGCTTGAGTTGCTTAAGCATACTTTGACCTTCTTCGATTTAGGGCACCAAAGCCTGTACCTTTTTACTCCAGGTCTAAAGCCCAAGAATACTCCTTTTTTAGCTCTATGGTCAAGCTTACTTTCCTGCACATGATAGTAAGCCGGACTACCAAATACATATAATTGATCATAGTCGTTGGCATGAGTATTGAACTATACCTCCAAAGATGTTTTTCCTTCATTTGCAGTAATTGGCAGACAGTTAATAAGGCGGCAGGCATATATCACAACTTCAGCCCAAAATTGCTTGTCTAAACCGAAAACATACAACACACCTTTTCCAACGGAGTACTGTTCATCCATTCTGTCACTCCATTCTATTGTGGAGTTTGCCTTTCATTGATGTGATGTACTATACCTTCTTTCGGACTAAGTTCTTTTAACGGATCAGTAATGTTCTCTTCACCATTGTCTGATCTTAAGGTCTTTATCTTCCTGCCAGTCTGGTTTTCCATCATCTTCTTCCATGTTGTGAAGATGTTCACAACTCTATTCTTATTCTTCATTGGGTACACCCAAACACGACAAGAATAATCTTCAATAGATGTGACAAACCAGTGCTTACCTTCTAATGATGCAACTCTGGAAGGCCCTCATACATTGGTATGCACATAGTCCATCATTTCTTCTATACAATGTCCTGCTGTCTTGAACTTGACTTTAGTTTGCTTTCCCAAGACAATGCTCACAAAACGGCGACTTACAATTCTTCAGACCTTTAAGTAAACCTTGCATAGCCAATCTTTACAAAGCTTTCTCATAGGAATGTCCCAAACGCATGTGCCAAAGCTTCGTGCAATCTATGTCAACTTTGTCAACTTCTTTATTCTTTCTATTACTGATGGCTGCTCCACCTACAATTGTACTCCCTTACAAGAAGTATAAATTATTCTTTTTGTTTCCTTTCATTATAACTTGAGTTCCCAATACTACTTCGAGAGCTCCATCTTCCAAGGTGATCTTGAAACCTTTGGATGCTAAAGCGCCAACGAGATAAGATTCTTCTTCAATCTGGTACATACCGTACTTCTTTCAAAGCTCGAATTGTTCCATCATGCAGCTTCAGTTGAATGCTTCCAATTCTTATTGTCTTACATGCGTCGTCATTACCCATAAGAACTGTTCCACTATCTAACTCCTCAAAGTCAGAAAACCAGTTCTGGTTGGGACACATGTAGAAAGTACATCCAGAATCCATAATCCATTCATCAGAATGGCACAGAAAAGATGGAGCAATACAAACACAATCTGAATCTTTATTCTCCTAAGTAAGGTTGACTATAGATGTCTCATTGTCATTATTCTTAGTACAATCAGCTTTCCAGTGTCCTTTCTTTCGACAAAGGGAACATTCATCTATAGTGGGTATTAATCTAGATGACGGTTCCTGAGACATGGAATGGGATCTGCTTTTACTGCTTCTGTTTAACCCCCCTCAGATTGTTTCTTCTTCTCTGATCTTCCTCATACAACTAAGGCTTCACCTGATGTGTCTTGATGAGCTTTCTTATCCTTTTTTTCGGTACTCATTGTTAACCAATGTGTTAGACACATTTTCAAACTTGATTTCTTCCTTCCCATAGAACAGTGTGGTAATCAGGTGCTCATATTCATCTGATAAGGAATTCAGCAGCAATAAAGTCTTATTTTCATCTTTAACTTCAACATTCAGATTAGATTGGCAAGAATCTTATTAAAGCCATTTAAGTTTTCGAACATCGAAATTCCTTTTTTATACTGAAATCGGAAAAGCTTCTTCTTCAAGTATAACTAATTCTCTATGCTTTTCATCATGTACTTGTCCTCCAACTTCTTCTGGAGATCTTCGGCATTCATCTCCGTCATGACAAAATACTTCTGATCTTTTGCAAGACATAACCAGATAGTACCATACGCTAGCCGGTTGATCTTGTTCTAGTCTTTGTCGGACATTTATACCGGTTTGTCATCCAAAGCGATTTCCAATTCTTGTTAGATGAGCACATCTAAGACTTCGTATTGCCACATGCCGAAGTTGTTTGTTCCATTGAACTTCTCAACCTTGAACTTAGCATTGGAGATTGATCTTCTTCTTCCTAGATTACTTGATGAAGCTATTTCTTCAGCCATTCTTCTTTAAAAAATAATGAAACCACCAAAATAGCCCTTCGTCGGGGATAGCTAAGACAGTTTAGAATACCAACACCCTTGACCACCTCACAAAATTTGGATCCGAATCTAAAGAAATAGATAGTGCGGTTGCATTCGAAACGGTCAATTTAGTTAGAGGTTACTCTCCCTACATCAAAAATTAGCCTAAAAATGCTCCCAAAACTGACCAAAACTTTTCATAGAATATTCTATTATTCTAGAGAATATTTTGTCAGCATATTTCGCTATACAAGGAATATTTCGTTTTCTAACTGGGCATGCTGAGGTAGCAGTTCTGTTGACGTAGTAGATGACGCAACAGTCGAAGCTAATGCGACAATGACATCATTGACGTGGCATTGGTCAATGCTGACGTGATGTGATGATATGGCGATCAACACTGGTGTGACGAAGGTGTCACGATCAGACACGTGGGACGCTTGTCTTTTTTCGGCTCGGCTTGGGTTGGTGTCGAGGCGAATCGACTTCTAGCTTCAGGTACGTGCGCGTGTGGCATGTGTGGCAAGTGGGCATGATTCGTCTTCTTCCTTCAGTGCGCGTAGTGAGAGTAGGCCTCATGCTCCTAACTTCTAGGAACGCATAAAGGTATGTGTAAGGTCGTACAGACCTGTTCTTTACACCATTGGACTTCTCTCAACGAGACGAACCACCTGGCGTATTTAGAAGTTGATTTTGACAACTTCAAAATCTGGACAGATTAAAAAACAGAGAGAAAAATGCTTTATTTTAGCACAACGTGGCTCTGATACCACTTGTTGGGCTAGGGAGCCACAGATTGATGCAAGCAAATGCATACAAGAGAGAAACACACAGAGTTTACGTGGTTCGGCAATTGCCTACATCCACAGGTAGCGGAATTCTATTTATTTAGAGAGATTACAATTCACTCGTGTTTGCTCACCACTTTCTTCTTCTTCAATTCATGTTTGCACAAAAAATACAATTCATTACCAATTTATTTATAGGTTTTCTTCAAGAATGAGATACGCAAGCAGTGATGCCAAAACACCATGTTTCAGACGCGTTCAGGAAGCTTCAAGGTGCCTCCATTGTTGACCTTCAAGAGTTTCAATTCAAGATGGTTTGCTTCAGCTGCTTGTAGATCATCCAAGAGCTTCCATCATGATCCTTCGAGTCTTCTTTAAGTAGAGAAACCAATCTTCTCTTTTCTTGTTCTTTCCTGATGGAGAAGTTGAAGCCAACTTCCTCACACCTCTAACCAGGCAGGAGGGGGTAGAATTCCATGTAATGCTTCCAAGCCCATTAATAGCAAAACTAGTCATCTACTAAACAAGACTCCTCTTACGTTTATGTTTCTCTGCTAAAGGGTTTTTTGAAACGATTTTTCAAATTGGTGTATTTGCTAAAGGGCTTTTTGAAAGGATTTTTCAAAGTGGTGTAATTTGGGGTTTTTGATTTGTTTATTATTTAGGTGTACCTTGAAGGGTAATTTGGAAAAAAAATAAACATAGGACGTATTGAGAGTAAATTATAATCCTAAATAATTTAATGGAGAGTATTGAGAAATTGAGCGCACTTAATGATTTTTTTTATACAAATAGAACCAAATATACATCAAACTAAAACCAACAAAAGTTATCTCAAGTCATGGGTTTAACACTGAAAGCCCAAATGTTAAAAAAATAAAGCAAATTACAAAAAAATGAGAATGAACTCGAAGATATATATCGTAGATCATATTTAGCAAAATCCTTAAATTGGAATTATGATTGACCAAGCTTTAAGTTACTAGTGAATAAAATTAATATACATTAGATTGAGTTAGGAATACTGATACTGTGAAAACTGATAGAGATGATGTTCAACTCTTAAATGAATTTTCAGCAATAGTTAAATATGTTATTACAGTTATGAAATCAAGCCCACAAATCATTACGGCACAAATTGTGCTTACTTTAGTTGAAAAAATTCAAATTCAATTTTATCAACCGTATCAAATTTGGTTTCTACCCAACAATTAGTTCAAATATTCTTTTTAAAAATAAAAAACAAACCATGGGAAGGGTATGATCCTGTCATTGGCAAAATTGATTAAACTTCTTCTTTTTTTTTTTTTTTATGATACACTAGACACTCATTTCCAACATGATAAATGAGCAATCTATTGCGATGGGAAGAGAGTTATGGTCGCAATGAGTGGAAATATCTTTGTGAAAACTTCCAAACTAGAACATGATAAGGCAAAAGAAATATTCAAGATACTTACAGAGGATATAATTGAAGTACTAGATATATTACAAGATCAAAAGATCAATCCAAATCCACTATGAGTCAATGCAAAAAATGAACATCTATACTTTTCAAAAATAAGTAGGAATCTCGCAAGTAGTTCATGCGAAGGACAAAGTCAACGCTAAGATATTACTGCAAAATGATGAAGGTATAAGTTTTATTTGCATAATCTAATACATGATTCATTTAGCGTGTGTTTGGGAAGGCAACTTCAGGCTAAATTAGCCATGTCCCGACAAAAAAGGCTAATGTAGCCACACGGAGACAAAATAGAAATCACGGGCAAGTTCAAACCCTTATTGGGGTAAATTTACCAAAATGCCCTCACTGTTTTGAGCAAAACCCTAACCCTAATTCTAATCAGCTGTTACATTCTGTTGATGTTTCATCCATGGACACTGCCACAGCCGCCCCTACAACCACCGGCATCGCCATCGCCACCTGAATGGCCCACCACCACCACCGCCGCCACCTACGGTGTCTGCTTACAAGGAATGTCTCAAGAACCACGCTACCTCTCTGGGCGACCACGTTGTCGACGACTGTGGCGAGTTCATGTCCTCCCTCACCTCCATCTCCACCGAGCCCACCTCGCTAAAATGCGCCACTTGTGGCTGCCACCGCAATTTCCACCGCCGTGAGCCGAAAGACCCACCACCACCTTCCATTGCCCAACACGTCATCGAGTACCAATCGCAGTACCGCTACCACCCTCCGGTGCTACCGCGCAGTCTAAATTCAGCATCTCCGCCGCCGATCTCCTCCGCCTACTATCCATCAGCACCCCATATGCTCCTCACCCTCAGTGCTGGGTTATCGGGGCAAGTACCGGCGAAAAACAGACCGGTAAATTCATCCGGGACGGGTAACCCAAATGGGCGGAAGAGACATAGAACGAAATTCACGCAGGATCAGAAGGAGAGGATGCTGGAATTTGCGGAGAGAGTTGGGTAGAAGACGTAGAAGAGGGATGATGAAGTAATCGCCGAGTGCTGCAGCAATGTTGCAGTCGGCAGAGGCATTTTCAAGGAATTAGAGAGAGAGAGAGAAACAACTTGAAGGGCAGTTTGGTCTTTTAACATGGAGACACCCCACTAAAAAGTCAAAAAACCAAAAAAGTCAAAAAATCCTTCCCAAACCAGGCTTTTTAGCCCCGGGCTAAAATAGCCAAAAAAGTCAAAAAGTCAAAAAGCCAACCCACTTCCCAAACGGAAGCTTACTTATCATTTTTTTTTTTGAAATTTTTCACATTTTTAAAACAAATCTCAAAAGAAAATAATGATGTGTAAGTGATATAATTAGTTGATAATTAAAAAAAAATACGAAAAAAAAAATTATCTTAGATATTCTAATTGATTGTCATATTATTAACTTTAAAAAATAAGTTTAATTTTTGAATTTGAATATCAATGCTCAATTACAACTTAGGTCTATTTTAAGAAATATGTTAAAAATTGACTTTTTGATATTTTTTATTTTTTTTAAAAAAAACTATACAAAAAACTAGAGAAATAATGACTCAAAAAAAATCAAAAAATTAAAAAAATTGAGCCAAAAGAGACCCTATTTGTAATTTCCTCTTATAATAATTCTACGTGGGTCCCTTCAGTCATATCTTCGGTCAATTTTTTTTGAAATTTTTCATATTTTAAAAAAAATCTCAAAAAAAAAAATGTGTAAATTATATGATTAGTTAATAATTTAAAAAAATGAAAGAAAATGTTATCTAGATATTTTAATTAATTGTCATATCATTAAATTTAAAAAATAAGTTTAATTTTTAAATTTGAATATCAATGCTCAATTACAACTTAAGTCTATTTTAAGAAGTATGTTAAAAATTATTTTTTTTGATATTTTTAACTTTTTAAAAAAATATATACAAAAAATTAAAAAAATAATATGACTAAAAAAAATGAAGAAATAAAAAAAATTGACTTTTTAGGCCTTGTTTGGAAAGACTAAGTCAACACTTTTTATCTTTTTATCTTTTTTAGGTCACATCAATCAATATTTTTTCTCTACTTTTCTATACATCTTTTTATAAAAAGTTAAAAAATATACTTATTTAGAACATCCCAAACAACCCCTCTCCATGCCAAAAGAGGTCTTATTTGCAATTTCCTCTTAGAATAATTCTACGTGGGTCCCTTCAGTCATATCTTTGGACAATTCTATTGTGTTGTGTTCATAGCACACTCACTCTCGCTTGGTTAAAATTTTTCAAAAATTTTTTTCACATAATTTTATTTTCTTATTTTTTGTATTTTTTTATTTATATTAAATTTTTTTAATATTTTAAGTTCAAAAAATTAACATTTAACTAACTTCCTAAAAAGATCCCTGACTCTCTCGTGACATTTTGTGGATAACATCAACCTTAAAACCCATAATTAGAGCATCTCCAATGATAATAGACATTTTACCTATCTAAACATTACTATAAAGTATATATTTTATTTTGCCTATCAACTGTTTCATATTTCTACTCCATCCATACTCTGTATTTTAGCTATTTATTCAAATACTATTAATTTTATAGAATGCCACATCAGCAACAAAGATGGACATCCACTAAAAATATAAAAATATAAAAATAAAAAAATTTAATTTTTAAAAAACTTAACCCAAAAAAACTCAAACCAACCATTACCAAAATTTTGAAGATCATGCGTGCCTATAAATAGAAAATTTGACACGTGGTTGCATACATGCGCACTTGGGAAACGACAATGCATTCGGACAGTTGGTGTTGAAAAGCATCACCCCAGGTTGTAATTATCCATCAATATGCTACTCTGCTAGAAGGGGAAAAAAAAAAACGGATGACCTGCCATGGGAAGGGCTTCCTCCTGTCCAATTACGGATTAGATGGTATGGTTGGGCCTATGAAGATTTATTACAGATTCTATTTTGATAATTTAAATCATTCAATATGTAGAATTCGTCGAGTACATATGTCTAAAAAATCACGTTGATCGGATATCGATTGTTATGTGATCAAATTAGTTTTGTATAAAAAAAATGGACGGTGAAAAATAAATGGCTAACAAAAATCTAATTTGATTACAGAGAGGGTAATTTATAAGTAAATTGGGCCGAGCTGGGTAATGGGCCGTTCTGTGGGCCACAGTAAGAAAGGGCTAAGTAAAAGGGCCTTGTAGTTAGCTCGGTCCAAGAAGAGCTTTGAAGTTAGCTCGGTCACCACGGTCAGAGTGGTAACGATTAGCTCGATCATACCATTCTGAGTCGAGATGCTTTGAGTTTTCCTCAGGACCATGCTCTAGATTAGCTCGGCCTGAGCTTGCTATGGTTAGCTCGGTCTCAACAGGTGAAACCGAGGTACAAGCTATGAAGGGAAGAACCGAGCTAGTTAGAGCTCGGTCATATTTGCCAGTTTAGCATGGCCATGTTAGCTCGGTCGTTTTGTCATACTACCGAGGTAAAACCATCTCACTTGATTTAAGCAGTGAGGGGAGTGTTGAAGGATAAGCATTATCTTTCAGGAGTGTGATTCCTAGGAGAACTCTGCATGGAGGAATAAGAGTCTTACTAGGATTGTGCCACACGGAACCTATAAAAGCTCATAACATCACCTATGGAGAGGTAGCACAGCTTTGATTCTCGAATACACATAGCTTTTGTCTATTTGTCTATTTTGCTGACTTAGGCATTGGAGAGGTATCCGACGCACACCCGCCGGCTAGCTCACGTTTGTGTTTTCAGAGAATAAAGCGACGATGTTTGGAGGAGCGCAGACTTGATCAACAGGATTATACGAGAAGATTATTCATTGCTCGTACAATTGGCGCCGTCTGTGGGAAAATCAGAAAGAACAAAACCTCTTGATCAAGTTTTTCCTCTCTAATTGGAAGTAATGGCGCACAATGAAGATTTGCCACAGTCCGCCATCGACGGTCAAACCCCAGAGGGGGTGGGAGGCGCGAAGGTTTGCCTTCTATCCTTCCCATGGCAGATTTAGAGCCCCAGCGACAGAACCCCCGGAGAGATGCAAGGGGGAGGCGGACTAACAGCCCTCGTCACTCTCAAAGTCCTGAAAGACAGAGGCAGAGGATCGATCCTCAAGTTTTTGAGGATCATGTAAAAGAATAGGACAAGTTAATAAGAAAGATGGCGGCGGACATGGAGTCTATGAAGCGCCAAATCAAAGGAAAATGGGTGGCGACAGGAGAGGGGCGTAAAAGCAACACGCTCCCTCGCCACTCGGAAGATCGTAGTAGGCAAACCACACCATCGCGAGCAGAGAGTAGGAGCCTGAGAACAGGCGACACTTAGTCAAAAACTCCTAGGACTCGTTGCTCCAGGTCTGAGAGAACGAGAACTGAGAGGTCATATACTGAGGGAAGAACCTATCGACCCTCGCGCATGCACCAAACGTCCTCCAAGCTGACGGAGTTGCCTAGATCATCCGATTTGCGAACTGTGCTAGAAGAAAGGGCACGACGGAAGGAAGATAAAAGTGCGCGCGACCCACGCAGAGTTTCAGCCCTTCAGCGGTTGGCTCCTCGGACGCATGGGAGCGTTGAGGTAGGAATGTCAATACCGCGCCTTGCTTATGAACCAACCGACAAAGCATTAGCAAGGCTGCAGACCTCGCCGTTCGTTCCGGCAATTGAGAATGTACCACTACTTTCGGGCTTTCACCAGCCCAAGTTCACCACTTATGAGGGAAAGATGGACCCCTACACGCACTTGAGCCACTTGTGCCAGATTATGGCAGTATACCGGCGAAACGAGGCTTTGATGTGCATCCTGTTTCCATCCAGTCTAGGCGACCTGGGTCTAACTTGGTTCGAAAGGCTACCAGAAGGCAGCATCGCCTCCTGGGCACAAGTGGCAGAGGCATTCGTGACAAGGTTTAGAACGAGCACCACGACACCAGTGGAGATTGATCAGCTACTCTCCATTAACATGGGCGACAAAGAAACATTGAGGTCCTACAGCAGTCGCTATTGGGAAACTTTCAACCAGATAGGAGATTGTCCTACAAACCTCGCCATCACACAATACAAACGGGGCCTGCAGGTCGACAACAAATTGAGAGATTCAATTACTATGAAGCCTCCCGTCACGATAGAGGCCTTAACGGAGAGAGTACACCAACATATTCGTGTGGAAGAGGCTGGCGCCCGTGCTAAGGCGAAATCTGGCACGACAGCAACACCAGATAAAAAGACTTCGGCCAAAGTCAACACGGTAGAACGACCAAGCAAGAATGGGCGAGGCAAACGGGCCAACAAAGAGGATCCAGACAAAAGGTGGCTAAAAGTTCGCACTGCCATTACCACGGTGTAAACCAATCTACCGAATTCTCAGTGAGATACGTGATGAACCTTTCGTCCAATGGCCAGCTAAGTTGGGAGAAGCACAAAAAGACTATGATGAAGGATCTTGGTGTACCTACCATAATGAAAAGGGACACCGCACAGAGAATTGCACGCCGTTGAGACAGCACCTGGAGGAGTTAGTGGCAGCTGGGCACCTGGACCAGTACATAGAAGAAGGAACACAGCCAGCCCCCCTGAACCACGATCACCCAAACGGAATGCCAATCGACGCCCCACCTCAAGACGTGATTAACGTAATACATGGGGTATTCGAACCTGCGCGAGTATGTGAGCTCAGGGGAATGATCAAGAAGGTTGAGCACTTAAGAGAGGTATTAAGTGCATAACCTGCCATCAAAAGGGGGAGAACAGAAGCCACGAATGTCATATCTTTTTCTGACAGGGACTTGGCAAGGATATACTGCCCTCACAATGATGTACTGGTCGTCACACTCCGTGTCAAGGATTACGACATCAAACGGATTTTGATCGACCAAAGAAGCTCGTGTGAGATAATGTATTACAAAACCTTCAAACAATTAAAACTGGAGGACAAAGACTTGGCGCCTGCAACATCTCCCCTAATCGGATTCAACTCAATGCCAGAGTAGCCAGTGGACAAGATAATCCTCCCAGTCAGAGCAAGAAGCATGGCGAAACAAGTGAAATTCTGGGTATTGAAAGTCCCTT